AACAATCTGATTTTTTAAACAGCTTACTTTCAGTTTCTCTGGTCACACCAGATACTTGTCTTCCTGCGTCAGGCTCAGTCATCGCAGTGCCACCAGGCACATGACAGGGAGCTGATCTAGCTCTTTTCCACCCTGCATTATTTTGTATTCTGTTACCACCCTTTTCAAATATCTTCTCAAAGTCTTTTTTTTTCCCCAGTCCTTCCTCAAATTTTCAAAATCCCTTGGCTTTTTTCTTTTAAATACCTGCTACTTGTACACTATCATTTTAATTCTATCATTCAATTTTATCATTCAGAGATGAGCTGACAACTGCTACATACAGGGCTGCAGATACGGCAGCACCGTTCCTACAAATCCTGTATTTTGAAAGCTGTCCACCTTATCGTCTGTTACGGATTGTTCCTGGAAATGCTTAAAACAATATTTTTAAACAGCTTGTCCAAGCAATGTTGTTAACCTTTTTTCCTGTTAAAACTGGCATATTCTTTGAAAGAACTCCGGCTTTTTATTAAGACTTGTGTATACTTTTTAAATGTAGAGTTAAGAATAGTTACATTCTCCTCTGCTCAGTAGGACAGTAGATACTTAGCAAGAATTATCCTCTTTTGCTAATTTGCATTGCATAATCATGATTTAAATAAAAAACTATTTCTGTAAATATTTGTAAATTATAACATTACCATTCACGTCGGCTTTCATAAAACCACTATCATTTTTTAATTTGTGAGTGTATAATCAGGCACAGACTTTTAAACAGGGTCATTTTAACATTTCTTTTTTTAACAGGAAGTCCACTTATACTGAAAATGTTCAGTACAGTGAACAACCACACGTTTTCTTCCTCAACAAAGCTTTCTGATTGCACAAAAAACACAGAATAAATATAAACATTAGGCAAAGGCAACATTTTAAAGTGCAGAACTCCACTTGCCATACATGAATAATTCAAATAATGCTGCATAATGCATAGGCGATACTTACTAGCATTTCATTAATAATCAAAACCTAAAGTGACACAATGAGATCAACATACAACAGTAATTCAAATACATTCCATTTATAATAAATAAGTGCTCATCTGAACGTGGAACACATTAAGCATACTGCCCCAAGAAGCAAGCTTTCCACACACTCCCCCTTTATTTTTCTTTGTCTGAATGGTGTGCTAACATCGAACACAAAGTCACATTAAGAAACAAAGACCCCATCCACAATCTGACAAGAGAACTAATGGGGTCTGACCTCTGGCAACAGTTACGTATAAATTTTTCCAGAGGTTTTACCTTAAGTCAGTAGCACTGTGTCGATTCATACTGAGTAAAAATGATCCCGTTCTTTTCTTCCACTTACTCATTTGCCCTTAGAGTCTGATCGCCTAATTTTTTCTTTTTTGTTTGTTTGGTTGGTTGTTTTTTTGGAAGAGGGAGGAAGAGGGACGGAGGTTGTTTTAATCTGTCTTCAGCTACTAAGTTCTGTGACAGTGAGGATGGAGGGGGAATCGCCCAAGTCCTAGCCTTCATTAACATTTTGGTTTGAGACAGTAGTGCTGTTGTGAATTCCCTGTCGTCCTCCCTAACTGAACCTTGGTTCAGTTTGCAGGGTGGCTTTGGTACACAAGGATTAAGTTTATTTTAGAGGAAACTATACTGGAGGCTCAGCTGCATGCTAAATACACTTCAGCCTCTAAAAGAGACATTAAGAGTCTGAACCAACTATTTGGCCTGCTTCAGACTGCATACGCAGTGGGGACATTCATCCAAGCAAACAGACCACATGTAGTCTGAAGCTGCATACAGTGTAGATGTACAAGTCTCAGCACTAACTGCTTTCATCTACTGATCCTCCCCTACTGCATCAAGTATCTTGGCCATCTACACATAGCCAGAGAGTCCTAAGGACTGAAACTTCCCAGTGGGATTCTCAGTGGCTTTTCCAAAATTGCTTCAGATAAATTTGGCTAGTACATCCTTTGTATCTCCTAAAACCTTAAAATTTCTGTGTGTAAGCCATCTTCCACTGAACAAGCTTTTGGGACTACCTCAGAGGACCCCACTTCAATATTTTTTTTTCAGCATTACAGTCTTTCTCCACTCAATTCTATCTCAGATGCTGCTGTTGAAAGTACCTTCCAGTTTATTTGTTATATTCATTCCTCCGCTGGCTTCCTCCTACTTCAAATTCAGGCTTCTTTCCTTTACCCCTAGGCATCTCAGCATGTAGTGTAACGCTACCCGTCTTGGTCCTCGCTCCTCCCGGTCTTGGGCATTGCCGGGTGGTGCAGGCAGCCCACAGCACTACCTACCTGCAGGCAGAGCTCCCCCTGCAGCTGAGATTCTCCGTTTCCAAGTCTGGGTAGTGTCTGGGTACTAGATGCTAGTAAAGCTATAACCAAAAGGCCGAGTTCCTGCCTTGTGCCCCAGTTTTACAAGAATGAAACTGCTCACGATGTAGCCAATATTCAGATACAAAGCTCATTGGCAGCAGTTATCCTAGGGACTGCCTTAGTAACTGGGCCAGCAGTACAGTACTGAACTTCTGAAAGTTTTCTGTATTCCCAGTTTGCAAATAAGCAACCCCTCCTCACCTGCAAATCTTTCAAGAAGAAATGCTGAATCCCATTTTTAACAACACTACAAAATAGTGAGAAAACAATTACGTCAGAGACAGTTAAGACTACCCCTTAACATAAAAGCATTGATTTAATTCACAGCTCTAGAAGCGAAGAAGTAGGGCACAAACATACATCGTACACAAGGCTGTGTAACCTGTCTCTGCCCCAGAAAGCATTCTTGCAGGAAAGCCAAAGCCGAAAACCATGCAACTCCCTAAAATTAGTTTCAAAGAGGAGGATTAAAACATGTGCCTCACTGATCTTTGGTTTTGGAACGTGAAATTTGGTCAGTTAAATTCATGTCAAAATTCATGAGGAAAAATGCTCCCTGAATCAGGAAACCAAGTTAAAGAGCTGAAGATTGTATTTGCCAAGCAAGTGTGCTACTGTGTAGGTGACTGGGACGCACGAAAAACAAAACAGTTAAGAAAACGCCCTGATGGAATGTGAAAATCTTAATCCTTAACTATTCACTCCTAAAACCTTAGGGGTCATTGAACCTGACAGATATGCAGGCCGTACCTCGGCAAGCCCAGGGCATGGCGCAGTGCCCTGTGAAGACATCCGCGCTAGCTCTCAGCCCCGCAGCTGCACTCGGGCAGCATCCGCAAGCCAACATCCCATCCCCAGCTGCTCAGCAGGGCTGCTCGGCTTCGGCAAAACAAAACACACCGAAAAGACTGTACTGCTTCAAGTGCCCAAGCTGGCTTTTACACTTCCATTTGACACTATACTGTCTCATGTAGGTGCCACCATAACGGTACGCGAGGTCTGAAAATGCTTTTAAGATCAGAAAAGTTACCAGCGACGTCAGACCAAGCACTGTCTCAGAAATCGACACGAAGTGAGGCTTTGGTGCAAGGACCTCCCTTGTTTTGTGAACAGAGGGAAGTCCCGTGCCTTTATATCGACATGCAGTGACATAAAAGTGTGAAACAAAGCTTAATGAAATCAAGAGAGTTTGAAGCAGGCCTTAAAACCGTACTCAACACATTTACGGTACAACTCGATACAATATGGTCTCTATTAACACTGAAATTAAAGCTTACATCCTTTGTGTTGCAAAAGCGTAACAAAGGAACAAAAAGCAATCCCCTTCTCAAGCTAATTTCAGAAGAAAAAAAGTCTCTGATAAAAAATACGCAAATATGCTTTTTAAGAAAGGAAGTCGCACAGATTTCTAAAATAAAAAGGGCACTTTTTTTACCTGGAATTGTACAGGGCTGGAATTACGGTTGCCATGTTGAAAGACACAAAAGAGCACATTGAAGCTGAGCTGCTTTTTCCAGTGATGATTTCCACCTCAAGTCAAAGATGGTGATGGCCAGAAATAGCCCATTTCTGCCTGGATTTTTTTTAAACCCACTCACTTCCCTCACAGGAAGGAGAAGGGACAATGTATCATTCCATGTGAACAGTCAGGAGCAAATGAGCTTGGGAAGGTTCTGCAGGAGGCTGAACTAGAGGAAGTACTCCCTCTAGCCCAGAAAAAAACTCTTCTTTTGCTTGCCATCAAGTAGCCCGCTCAGATATCTTAGTGCCTGCTTCTAATTCAACACAAGTTTCATTCAGCTGTCACTCAGCTGAAGATAATTCAGTGAAGTGGGTGGAAGATCCGGCTGACCACTTCTAGACTTAGGAACAAAATCCGCAGAAATGCAGTTTCAGCTGACAGCATCACAGAACAATGCAGCCCTTCCGCTCTCCCTGCCCGTCTCCCTGTGACTAATGCCCTGTTTCTTATTTGGTCCTTCCATCAGTTCTCTTCTGTCTGACTACGAATGACAAATCTGAACTCCTTGATAATAAGGACCCTTATTTATTTATGAGTACTCACTTCTTCTTTAATTTCTCTTAAAAAAAATAATGTTTTAAATGAAATAATTACTTTAAAAAAAAAAAAAGCTCCTTACTTTAAAAAAAAAAAAGCTCCTAAAGAAAACTGAAAAATGTTCTAAATGCCCAAAAATGTCACTGATTTTTCCATACTTGGTGATAATATTATGGAAATTGCATTCTTCTGTGATATTAATTATCTGCAAAATCAATTTACTAGCACTGGCTTTTTTTTAAATTCAGATGCATTACAGACAATAAAAGTCTCACTGCTCTTCATCATGCTTCCTACACTATTATTAAAAGGAACATCAGGTGTCCTCTTTAATTAAGGTATTTACCAAATCCCTTATCAATGCACACATGCTATTTTTACAGAGAAAATTAAGTATCTGTTTCCTCTAGAGCTGTGACAATTTTGGTACAGCAATTCTTGAAAGGTCTATGAAAAATTTCTGATGTTTGTAAGTTTTAAAACATTAAACAAAAATGAGGTGTCGTTCCAGATGATCAGGCACTGTGTTTAATCAATCTTTTCCAAATCAGATGCAGAATGATCAGCCGAGTATTTTGCTAAAGGGAAATGGATTTATACTGAACTTGAAAAAGGAACCACTTGCTTTCCAGCCACATACACTTCAGAAATATTCCGATCATCACCTGAAATAACATGGTCAAAACAGAGATTTGCACATAAATCTATGCACTGATTTAATTAATGAAAATTGTGCAATCCACAGAATCAGTTTTGTAATACTCATCATTTGCGGAGACCATTTCCTAGGACTGAGAAAGTTCATTTAGAGAGAAATAATCAGGGCTACCAGAAAGATCAATGGATGTTTCAACAACCCATGCTTTTTTTAAGAAATAAACACATCATTCAGCTGCTGCAATGGTGTCACGGGTTTTCTGTATATTTAGGAGATCCAAACCCTGAAAGTATTATATATCTGTACAGAAAAGGCATTGCTGCATGGTATCTGAACTAACTCGGGTACCAGGCAGCAGTAAAGCTGGTTCGCCTCAGCCAGCTTCTCAAAAAGGCAAAAGCCTAATCAGAGAATGACACAAACGTGGCCTAAGCTAACACCAGTTATCCCTATATAACAACATGATGGGCAGCGCAGCTCTTGGGCAGACAATGCCCTACAAAGAATATATATTCTTAGGAAAGGGTGGGGGGGCAGGTGCTGAGTTGGGTTTTGTTTCCTTTAAAGGCCTTCTTTTTTGTTTGGGAGCAAAAATTACCAGAACAGCAGCTGGTCTGCAGAGGTCCTTCTGAGCTGAACTGGTTCTGAAGTGATGATTAGCATGTCAGTGTTACTTTACCGTGAAATTTGATTTAGTTCATACCGTACATCAAGATAGGTGTGGTAATAAATCTGACAAACTTCGTGCATCTGATGATGTTAAACTGACTATTTAACTGTGTCCCAAAGAACAAAAGTGAAACCACTTAATTCTTGCTAAGTATTAATAAATGAATATCAATAAATGTAAATAAATGCATATTTAATTAAGGTAAATATTAATATTAATAATGACCCAATAAAGTTTATATACAAAGTAAATTAATATACTTAGTTACTGTAAACAAATGTATATCTAATTATGTATAAATATATTTATTATTAACCTCCACATTAATTTAGGCAATTTTTGATGTATGAAACAAGAGAATTTTATGTGGGCTGAGGATCAGAACATACCTAGATACAGGAACTTCTGGAGAGTGTCCTATAAAAAAATGGGAGAAAACCAAATTCAGAAAGCCATATCTGCTACCCCAGATCATAATTATCTGAAGCTTGAAAGAATTGATAAATTTTTCCAAATATTCATAGTAACATTAAAATCAAAACTTAATTTGCACATTTTCTGATAAATAGCTTTCAGTAGGAAAGCTGTATATCTCAGGAAGAAAACACTACCCAAGTTTGACAATATAAATAAATACATGCCTAAAACACCATACTTCCCCTTCTAGTTTTTTAGAGTTCTCAAATTCATTCACTTTTTGGAAAAGTAAGACAAAATTGTAAGCATTTTTAAAGTTGTAAGAACTACCACCTTATCTAAAAAGTTTTAGACTTCAACCAGAAAATATTTTTTTTTCCAGAATTATCTGATTTAGGAAGAAAATTTTAAATTTAAAAAATTGAATGTAATCCAGATTATTGTGGTTTAAACAGATTAAGGAACAAGCATCTCGCCATTTATGCCCGCATTTCTAAGTAAATGGTAACATTCAGAATAGAAATGGCAATAGACAGTCTGGCCACATCAGTAAATTCAAGTAACTGCTGTTACTTTTTCAACCATAAAAGGTTTTTGTATGAGAAGTGCCCATTTCATAATGCCAATACTACTTATATGTTTGCATAAAAACTGGGCTTTCAACTCAAATTAGACACCTTGAGCTCTTGCTTAAATTTACAATAGCAGTGCAGTCAAGGCAGCCTAGCCTTTATCTGGGAACAGGTTGCCATTTTTTAGTTTGAATCCAGTGTTCACTAAAACATTCTCTTGGCTGCCATTTGTCACCGCGAATAGCTAACTCTATTTGTCATCTTGGGCTAATAAAACATGCATTAAAAATGTTACAGGCATTTTTGCTCATGGGGATTTGGGACTGTCACTGAGGACAACATGATTCTGAAAAAAAACCAACTGCCAAACCTCTTGAGCTGAAACACAGACAGCAGTGGTGTAGTACACCTGATTCGTAGCCCTGGAATAACTCTCAAGAGACTTATTCTGGCTGTATCACAGACCTTCCCCACATAATTTCCAGTAATTTTTTGGATCATTAATCCTCTTCTGATTACCTCAAAATTATCAGCAGAGAACAAGTCAAAAGGGCTGTCTGAAGCCTTCGTGTTGATTAGCAGGGCATCAAATTCTTTGCCGACCTCAAAGTTTCCGATGATGTCATCTAATCCTAGCGCTGAGGAAGAAAATAAGCCCACAAATGGATCTTTAACACAAGCCTCTTTTCACCATGTGGAAGCACCTGGTAGATTACTTGAGGTGTTCATAAGAAAAACTACAAGAATTTAGATGATTACAAGGAAAAACAGGAAAGCAAATTCAACAGTAAGTACATTAGCATCAGAGTTCTTAAGCAACTTCTCAGTAAACACAGGTATATTTTGATGAATTCCTGAAGGGCACCTGTTAAGGGTGAAAGAAATCTGAAAAATAATTTGAAGCCCAGCTCCAAAACTGCAAACTTCCAACAACTGCTCCCACACAGAACGTGCCAGCACTGAAAGCTGTTGCTGACCCTCACCTTTTCTTGGCAGCCCTTTCACAAGCCCACCAGGTGGTGTTGACCAGTCACCAAGAAACTTGACTTTTTTGTCTGAATGTTCTGCACTGATTTTGTGTCATTGAAGATCTGATGTATGGGCCACTAACTGTTTAAAGTGGAATAATAATCGTTTACAGTGCAAAAACATTAAAGCTCCAAAAGGGGCAATGAAATGAAGTCAGAGAAACAGTCAAGTGTATAATATTCACCTTGCTAAGGCAGTATTAGATTTAATTGTTTAGAAAGTTTAAGCAACTTTAACAGGTTGTATAGACCTATTGCAATACTAACACATTATAATGTGATAACAAAGAGGTGTGCAGAGAGGATAACTAAGGGTAATTAGCAGAAACAAAGAACAATACAGTGTGGAAAAAAAATCATAGCCAGACCTGAAGGTCTCGTACGCACTTGTAAGTTTTGTCTTGTGGTCTATCATTTAGCTTTTTTATTTCAAAGCTTCATTACAACCTCTGGTTCTCAAGTCCACAAGCACTGAAAATCTACAGTTTCATCTTCAGGACCAGGTGCTTGCAAGTGCTTAGAACACCTAAAGAGAGGCCTTTGTGTCTCCCTGGAAATGATTTAGGATAGTTTTAAGTTGTACAAAATATCTGCATATTAAATCAACTTTTCCAATACTCTGGAGTTAAATTATCTAAAGGGGATAATATCTGCAAATAATTTGTTCACTTGTTTTCAGATTGCTCCTGACCGACAAAGGATCTTCAGCCTTCAGTGAAGTCTGTGTGTGGCAGGAACTTCACAATACCTTAAATATGTTTAAACTCCTTCAAATGGTGAAATATTTTCACTACCTATCAGTTTCAATTAAAGTGGCCTCACATTCCTTCAGGTTTGTGAGCAGAATGCAATTTTTAGATTAAACACAAGAGGGTACAAGTGTTTAGCAGTCTCAGCAAAGCAAATTATTGCAACAAAGAATTACTCCTTTAAATTTCTGCAAATAGTAATTGTCCAGGCTACTGGAAGGTCATACGAGTAATTTATATTCTACCCTTGAAAGTGATTCAGTAAGGATAAAACAGCTCAAATCAATATATAAAATAAACACATCACTAAGTAAATCTAAGAGCCAAGGTAAAACAAGTGCAAGAGTACCTGGGAAGGGAAATCATGTATGAGTTGGGGATTTTATAAGTTTTCCCTTCCATATCTCAGCTAATTTGTTCTCACCTTTTATGAGAACAGTATTTATTGTGGGAAAAAGGTCTCTCCTTTTTCATCCCCTGCCCGTTTTCTGTCTTCTCTTACTTTCCACTTACAGACTTCAGAAATTCACAGTTCTGAGAAGACCAGTTTGATGACACTTCCATTACATCTTTCAAAGTTCCATTAATAGTTCCCAATGGTGTCTTCTGACAACTGCAAAAATGTTACACTGAAAAGGCTTGGGATCAGTTCTTTAGCAGGTAGTAAGCTCATTTCTGCTAACTGGAACAGTGATAAATTTTTACTTATGTGTGGATTTGCTCTTTGCTAAACCATAGAAGTTCCGCTAAAACTTTGCTAATTGTATAAATCAGTACTGATCATGCCAAAACATGCCAGCGAACCAGAATAACCGATGTACTATATAACTATATTCTGCAGATGCAACTGTGTCTTAAACAACCATGGTGCATATCCTGTTTAAACTTTGTGCTTTTCTCTGACTGAGGAGTGATTTGCATGATGTTTTGACTTGATGGAAAGACAGTGACAAACAGCCTCAATGAGAGCCCAAAAAGCAGAAACAAAATTAGAAACTGATGACAAACAGGATGCATGATTTTATAGTAATTGCACAGCTTTTTCTCTAAGTGTTGGTTGCTAAGAAAACAAAGTCTTTCCAACTGGTGTGATAAATATACAGTCACTAATGATTAAGAAGTCTGAGGACGTTTGCAAAGCAAATCTACAACCCTGAATAATCGTAAAGATTCTATTATTGAACTCTCAACATCAATACAAAGAGTCTTCTGTAATGAGCCTAGTATGGGTATGAGTGACTGAAGGATATCTCTGCCCAGCAGATACTATTTTTGACACCACTCTGACACCAGAAAATCTGTGAAATCAGCAACTTTTAAAGACAAGGAGACATAATATCAAAAAGAGCTGTAGTTCTCTGTGTACATCCTGAAGAAATTTCTTCTTACCTTGGCTTCCTCCAAGAGTGGCTAGTTGAAAAGCTTCTTCCAGAGTTAGTCCTGTTTCATTCACTTTATTGATCTGAAGGCTATCAGATGCCATCATTGTTTTCCTGATAGCATCAAGCATAGAAGCTGAATATCCACCAGCAACATCTAGAAGGGATCAGACTCTTAGAAACAAGCTTTGGGAATAATTCTCTGGGTTAAATTTCTATGAGCTTTAATTAACTGTTACAAAGTGGCAGATGTGGTAAACACAAAAAGTTTTATTGCTAAGCACTGAATGCATAATTCCTAATAAAGGTGCTGTCACATACAAAATCAGGTAAATACAACACAACACGGAATAACAGAAGCCTGAAAAGTTGTTGTTCAAGCCCTATTCACTCTTACAACAGGAACAAAACTTCCTTCATTCACTTTTTGTTTTCTTTTTAAACAGTTTTGGACCGGCTATGTCAGTATTTTAGATTTCATTACTCTAGAAGTACTGCGGAAAAAACCACAGGTCCGTAAGTTGGAGACATGCCTACTTTTAAAGACAAACAAGTAGGCATGTTTTTGTATCTCCCAGTGGTTTCTACCGTGTTTACAGCAAACTACTAACCTGTGCCAAGGCCAAGCTTCACATTGTGTTTCAGGACTTTTTGCACATTTAAGACACCACTGCGCAACCTGCATTGGAAGAAGAAACGTGTTCTGTGTGTATAGAAAGTTCAGGAAGAGCAGGGCGGCAGAGCCGTTTCACGACAAAGGCTCTCAGAATGTGTGCAATAGATTCGGTTTATTAAACTGGGATGGAGCATTTCCATTCATACATCTGAAAGGTGAGGTTTAATCACTAAAAATAACCGCCATTTTTCTCAATTAAAAACTCACATAGTTTTATAGTTACCTGCTGAAAATGAGCTGTCAGTATAGCATTAAAGCAACCCAAATACAATGTAAAAGATATTCCAGGAGATGGGAGGTCATTTCATGAGCTCCAGTAAGTCATCACAAACAAGATATTGATTATGTTAAAGGCAAAATGATTGTTAACATTTAGTACAGTAACTTTGCTGGTTACCATACAATATCTCATTTCTGGTTAATAGAAGAAGACTGTATAGCCCATTCCCATTTCCTCACAACACATGCCTACTTTGGGGGGAAGGGAGGTGGCCTGAATTTGCCATTGATAGAACAAGTGAAAGAAATAAAGTTTAAAAAAAGAAATATATGTGTATATATACACAAGACTATACAGAAAGATCACAAGTCAGTCCAGAGCCTACTGTGCAGAAGTGGAGCATGAATGGGCTTGCTCAATCCAGTATTTCACTTCTGGTGGAATGAGGTATCATACACATAGCCTTGTTATGGTAGGCTGGACTCACAGTATTATGTCAAAACCAGCTTTATTTAATTGCTTCTTTTTTTCTTTTTTTCTTTTTTTTTTTTTTAACTTACGAAAAATTAGAATTGGGGCAATGTGAAATTGCAGCTCCACGAAGGCTAAAAAGCTTCAGCTCTTCCTCAGAGAGATAACAAGCATGGGCCATCACTGTCTAAAGAAAAACAGAATCACCAGTTTACCCAATATACTCAATTTACTCATTTACTTCAGTGTCTTTGATTTTTGCTGCACTGCTTTTAATAGGCAAAAGGACACCTACTACCATCAAGGGAAATTAATACACTTCTTGAATGAGGCCTTTGAAATCAACAGGGGATAAATTCTCATTAATTTCAGTATGCCAGTCACATCAATCCCTCAGCTGTTTTCCATTTATTAATGCAAGAAGACAGGGTGCTGACTCTCGCAGTGACTGCAGTGACCCAAGAGCTTCGAGGCACAAAAGCAAGAATTCCCTGGTTGTCCTAGCACTGTAGTAACCTTACGAATTACACTTCATAGCCAACACAGAGATTAAATACGGGGGCTAGGAGTACATCAGATACAATGGAATATGTATGTACTCTTAGCATGTTTCCCATTGTCTCTCTAAAGGTTTGCATCAGGTAGATATACGTATCTGGAATATTCTTCAATTCAAATAATCTAATTTGTTCTGCAACTGATTAATGACTTTTCTTTCTTGGCCTACACAGCTGGCTTTAAAAACAAGTTCACAAGCAGTACACACAAAACATAAAAGTATAGGATATATCATTTAACAGGACGTAAGCCCACCATTCCCACACAATTCTACTTGGAATTACCCCATTTGACAAATGCCCACTCAAAGAGAAGAGCAAGAGCTCTGTTAGGCCTTGCAGTCTGCTGATAAAAATAAGAATGGCACAGGGACTATTTCCACTGAGCATCTCTTAATAGCACTGTACTCTTGCCGTCTCTACTTATCAAGCTCAAATGTAACTGGAAACGCAATAACAATAGCCACATCTTAAGTTAAGCACATGCATAAGG